TATTACTATGACGGAACACTCTCCTAAGGTTCTTAAGTTTAAGTCTATTCCCCCTATTTCGATTCAGTTAACGCCATTTTGGCCCGACAATATCGAGTCCTGGTTCTGCCATGCAGAAGCAGATTTTTGCATGCACGGAATCACGGACTCGCGCACACGTTTCTTCGCGGTAGTTAAGGCGTTACCGCGCGAGTTTAACAGATACGTAACACCTTGTATGTTTACTAGTGATGTTCCCGAACCTTACGAATCGCTTAAGCTATCGATTTTAAAACGAGGAGACCTAACTGATAGACAACGGTTAGACCAACTCCTTAACAATATCGACTTGCGACATGGTTCTGCGACGGACATGTTGCTTAGAATGAGAGAAGTCATCGGCCAACGAACTTTCGATGATGACCTATTTAGACAACTTTTCTTGTCTAAACTCCCTCAACAGGTGCAGGCAGTGCTTGTTTCATTTCAAAACAATGCCATAGATGAACTAGCTGCATCTGCCGATCGAATCTTGGAAATCACTAGATCTTCTAAGGCCGAGGTTTTTTCCGTCAAAGAAAAACCCCAATCGACCTCGACTGACATGGCGGAACTATGTCGCACGCTTACACGATATCTTAGAGTTCGCAATGACCGTAGTCGGTCAAAAACCCCGCGTAGAAGCGTTTCACGTAAGCGATATGGCTCTCGAACACGAGGGACAGACAATCCCGACTGGTGCTGGTATCATAACCAGTACGGTAATTTTTTCCAGAAATTGCAGGAAACCTTGCAATTATCCGACCTCAAAATCGACTGACACGAATAAGATTTCGGGAAACTTCCCAGCCGGCACGCGTTAACGGCGGCGAACACAGCCGCCTCCTATATGTCACGGATGTGACTACGAAAGTTCGTTACCTCGTCGACACTGGCGCAGAAGTTAGCGTTCTTCAAGCAAATCCCGATGACAGACTTCGCGAGACTGGTTTTAAGTTTACAGGCGGCAAACGGAAAGCCGATCGCTACTTACGGTAAAAGGTAGGTCTACCTTAACGTGGGTTTACGCAAACCCATACACTGAATTTTCGTGGTTGCAGATGTCTCTATGCCAATCATTGGTATAGACCTGTTACAACACCACAATCTACTCATCGACACACGCTCACGAAGGTTAATAGACGGAAACACTAAGTTATCCGTTTGCGTAACTCCTTGTTCTGGTTGCAGGTTATCCCCAGTCACGATTAAGCACACCATAGACCCCTTGTACCAATCAGTACTCGACAAATACCCCGGGATATACCAATCACAATCGAAATTGCCTTGTGTAACCAGCAATGTTACACATCACATCACGACTTCAGGACCACCTGTATTTTCGAAAGCTCGAAGACTCGCTCCCGAGAAGCTTAAGTTAGCTAAAAACGAATTCGACCATATGATGGACCTAGGGATAATTCGACCATCGAATAGTCCATGGGCATCCCCATTGCACATGGTCCCTAAAAAGGACAGCAATGATTGGCGGCCAACTGGTGATTATCGGCGTCTGAATGCGAAATCCATTCCCGATCGTTACCCGCTGCCTCATATTCACGATTTGACAGCTACCTTGAAAGGTACAACTGTCTTTTCGTAAATCGACTTGGTTAAAGCTTATAACCAAATCCCGATGGCACCTGACGACATTCCTAAAACCGCCATCATCACTCCCTTCGGTCTTTACGAATTTCTACGAATGCCTTTTGGTTTAAGAAACGCGGCTCAAACATTCCAAAGGTTTATAGACGACGTCTTTCGAGGTCTCAACTTCGTACATGCGTATGTTGATGACTGTCTAATAGCAAGTCCGGACAGAGAATCGCATCTCAAGCATCTGGACATTGTTTTCGATCGACTCCAAAGGCATGGCATTACTGTCAACATACAGAAATGCCAAATCGGAACAAACTCCTTAGACTTCCTAGGACACACCATTGATGCCCAAGGCATCCGACCCCTTATGAGCAAAGTAGCGGCTATTCTGGATTACCCAGAACCGACCACGATCAAGCACTTACGAACTTTCAACGGCCTTGTAAGTTTCTATAGACGGTTCATACCCAAATGCGCATCCCTTATGAAACCGTTAACCGATCAGCTTCGTGGAAATGCGAAATCAATTAGTTTAGACGACATAGCCCGTAAAGCATTTCTCACAGTTAAGGAACACATCGCTAAAGCAACCTTGCTTGCTCATCAGGACACTCAAGTGCCCATTAGTATCGCCGTAGACGCATCCGACTCAGCAATCGGAGGAGTCTTACAACAATTTGTTAACAACTCGTGGCAACCCTTAGGATTTTTCTCGAGACGGTTGCTAGACGCGGAATCTAGGTACGGCACGTTCGGTAGGGAACTCCTAGCTATGTATTGTGCTGTACGGCATTTCCAACATTCCATCGAAGGAAGAGAATTCACGCTTTTTACCGATCACAAACCTCTTACCTTCTCTTTAAATTCATCTTCAGACAAGTACTCACCAAGAGAGTCTCGACAACTCGACTACATTTCGCAGTTTACTTCAGACACACAACATATTTCTGGAGCTAACAATGTAGTCGCAGACGCCTTGTCTCGAATAAGTTCCTTGAACAGTTTACAAGGAATCGACCTTCTTAAACTAGCTCAGCTTCAAAAAGAAGACATTGGTCTTCAGCATTAGTTATCCTCGACAACTCTTAAACTAAGAACTAAGCAGATGGGAACAGGTAAGGAAACCTTACTGTGCGACACATCTACAGGTAGGGATCGTCCAGTCGTACCTAAACATTATCGCCCCAATGTCTTCAATACTTTGCACAATCTTTCTCATCCAGGTGCTCGTGCAACTGTCAAACTTATAGCCGAACGTTTTTGTTGGCCTTGCATGGATAATGACGTGAGGGTGTGGGCACGCTCCTGTGTAAGCTGTCAGAAATCTAAGGTAATAAGACACAACAAATGTCCCTTAGGCTCTTTCAAAACCCCTGACGCTCGTTTTGACCACGTTCATCTTGATTTGGTAGGACCCTTACCCGACTCGAATGGATACTCATATCTCCTAACATGCGTAAACCGTTTTACTCGATGGCCGGAAGCGGTACTGATTAAGGACATTACTGCTGAAACCGTGGCCCGCGCTTTCGTCGAACGATGGGTAGTAAATTTCGGCTGCCCTTCAACCATCACTACAGACCGCGGACGCCAGTTCGAATCTGGACTTTTCCGTTGTCTCATCTCACTTTTAGGAATCACGCGCTTCCGAACGACCGCCTACCACCCACAAGCAAACGGGTTAGTAGAAAGTTTTCATCGACAATTAAAAGCTTCATTATCAGCTTCAAGCGTTTCACAGTGGACAGACGCTCTTCCACTCGTCTTGCTAGGTATCCGCAATGCAGTGAAAGCTGACATTGGATACACGGCATCTCAACTCGTTTACGGAACGACACTCCGACTCCCAGGAGAATTCGTGGATCCTTCAGCTTCTTCATTGAACATGGATCTAAACTCTTACACGAGTAGGCTTACAAACGCTATGCGTTCAGTTAAACCTGCTCACACTCGACCTCGATCAACTGATGTTTTCGTTCAACCCGAATTACGACATAGTACACACGTCTTCGCCCGTCGAGACTCACATCGACGACCCCTCGAATCAGCATACGAAAGACCCTTCAAAGTTCTTCAACGTGAACCTAAGTACTGTGTAGTAGATAAGAACGGTACGAACGATAGCATCAGTATCGATTGACTCAAAGCAGCGTACTTAGAAGGAAACCCTAGCTACGTCGATTTTCCTTCGGTACAAGCAAACGACACAGCCACTACACTCGTAGTACTCTACACGACAACCGACACACAACTTAATACTTCGTCAACATCGATAGATAAACCTAAAACAACGCGTTCTGGAAGACGAGTAAGATTTCCAGAACATCTTAACGAATATTGCACGTAGGAGATAAGCTTTATCTTGAATTACCTTTTCATAGTTTGTTATAAAAAAATTTTTTATATGCTTATTTTTTTATTTATATAAAAAGACAAATAAAACAAAACAATTTTATCTTTTTTTGAGCATATATATTTATATTTTTTATATATAAAAAAAACAAAACAAAAACATTTTTTTCCTGATCGCTTTTACGCTGTTTGTAAGTGCATTAGTATATTTTTTTCCGCTCATCTTGTGGCCCTACGCAAGTACGAGTGTATTTTCGACATGCATGTATTTTCGACGCTGCTAAACGAAGCAAGCTATCAAAAGAGTGTTTACCGACGACAAACACTTTGGGTTTAAACTTCTGGCTGGTCACGTCTTAGGGGCATCACTACCTCACTAGGGGGGGGGAGTGATCTGTAGCTGTAAATAATTCCCCAAAATCAATAGTTCATTAAGTGTTCGACATTGGATGCCGACCACGTTGTTTAAGTGGACTTGTTTAGCTGAAGGCTTTCGGTCATGCATCCGTACCAGATCACGTTGCAACACGGCGTGGGACACAGCTCCTACGTTTCACTAGCCAGCTTATAGAAAAGGTCCTCGATATATTGGTAACGAATCAAATATATCTTTCCTGCCTCTTCTCGTCTGATTTCTATCTGTCTGGGAACGATCGAACATAGAAGGTGCTACTGGTAACTAGTTGTAAACCTAGAATATCCGTTGCATCCTCAGTATCCATCCACTGTGTGTACAATTTATAGACTTACTTACCTAATGTGAAGCAAGCTATCTATTACCATTCACTTTAGAATGTGAGATAATCAAAACGAGTTTGCTGAAGTATGAGATATGTAGTTAACACGTCATGGATAATAACCTTTAATATACTTCTTTTACCCACCTCACAACGAAAATGCCTTGTGCGATGCACTGTAATTAAGATGCGATTCGTGGGTGTAATGCGAAAAATTCTAAACAGGGATCTGGAGTTTTAGCGAAACATGGTGAATCGAGCAAAACGAAAACAATAGACTTCAATCGCGTTATAAAGATATTGAAAATTGGTTGCTGGATCTGTTTTCGAGTCAAGGTCATATGTTTCTCATGAGTTGCACCACGTTACCTACGGGTTGTTGGATGGACATGTCGTTGGTATGTTTTTAATTTACTATCATTTTGAAGTTTTCCTCTTAATTAGTGGTAAATAATTAAGTCCCGTTAACCCGATGAATATGAATCTAATGACAATTTATCGTCGCTCCGTTTTTGACACCCATTCCCATTATCGTCACGTATCCATTACGTATACAAGATTTACTTATAAAGTATAAGATATTAATTCCAAACTTGATTCATGTTACACAGAAATGCGAGAATTTAGTGTCGTGATACAATCAGCGGAGAAAGAATGAATCATATCAAGGTTTTTATCCCTTGTTTTAAAAGCTACTTTTACACCCCTCATAAATTGGCAGCATCTTGATTTGTGCTCCGTACATCAATCAGATATTAAAAAGAGAGTTTTCGACTATTTGTCGCTCATTAGAGTAATTAAAAGACCCATAATGATTTTGATTTTACAGTGGAAGGGATAAATACTTACTGGGCTAAGTTTTACAGTAAGATAATTGCAAGGTTGTAATAGTTTGAATAAATCCTAATAGTGATACACATTCTTAATCCCATGGTTTTGTGCTTTTTTCTTTCCTAAAATTTATCACAACTAGTCTCACTAGTAATATATCATAGTCCTTCTTCCTACATAATTGAATATGAGCAGATTTTCTCAGCTTGCCGGGTCTTCTGATCTTCAAAAACAATTCCGGGATTTAAAATCAACCTCGGAACTCCAGCACGGAGACGAGAACAAATGTTCAAATTCAATTAAAAAATCCAAGGGTAGGAAAGGTCGTACCACAAATTGTTCGACACAGTCCATTCAGTCGCATCCCACTGATACTGTTTTAAAAAGTAGGTATAATTTTTAATTCCGTCAGTCCCATCTCAAAGATTTCACCAATACTTCATATAGAAATTTTTCTGATGTTTCTAAACAGTATTTGGATGTTATTTATTTGAACACAAACGTTAGTATAAGGGTGCATCAAATATATATGCGCCACAAAATAACAGTGGGGCCAGTAGTAGTTATCATTGATTTGTGTGGGGGCTGTGATACTGCCCAGATCGAAACAGGTAGCTTTCTTAAAGGGCCACTCCCTGGACCTTTAACCTAGAGGTCTAGTTCACGAGACGGTAGAGCAAGGTGAGATGCAGTCCCATGGTAGCCAATGACAAACAATTGGTTCATACACCATTTGTTCCTTCAGGATCATGGAGCCCATATATGCCATCCGTTTGGAGTGAGGGTTTTCCTACTCCACATAGGTGGGCCTTCCATATACACCAACTTGGTTAAAGGAAACGAACATTCGCTTTCAGTTTTCTCAATTTCGTGAACAACATCCCTGGTGTGAGAAGACAGTGAGTAGAACTTCTCTGACAGTGGATGTATACGCATGGCCATGTGAGAGTATTTCGAGAGGGAAAACGAACTCTTTCCATCCTCAGCCGTACCATAACATTTGGGAGCCGAATGTTAGCTAAACGTAAAGCATAAATTAAACGCACTGAGATATGATATGTTTATTATTGTTTATTGAAACACATAAATATTGGTACAAGGAAGCATCAGATAAATATGCGCCTCACAAATCTCATTCGATTTGTGTGAGGGCTGTGATACTGCCCAGGTGCCCAGACTGAAGCAGGTGGTTTTCTTAGGGGTCCACACCCGGAGCCTTTGACCTGGATGTCTGACCCACAAGGCAGTGGGGCATCGTGAGGAGATGCAGTCCCATGGTTGATTCGTACGCCATTTGTTCCATCAGGATACTGGAGCCCATGTGCACCATTGGTTTGGAATTGTGGTTTTCCAACTCCCCTAGGTGGACTCGCCTTGTCCACCAACCCGGTTAAAGCGCCGGACATTCGCTTTTCGTCCTCTCACTTTCGTAAACAACAGTGATGCCACGAGAAGGCAGTGAGTAGGACTTCCCTGACAGAGGCTATATATTCGCTGGCCATATGAGAGTATTTCGAGATGAAGAGGTGACTCTTCCCACTCTCGGCCGTACCAGGGCATTTGGGGCAAGTGTCCTACCATATGATATGTATATTCAAACTCGCTGGATCCATGTCGATTTTAAAATATGACTATTTGTTTAAAATTCTTTATGGAAGTTAATTAAAAATAAAGTAATCATATTTTAAAATCGAAATGGATTCAGAGAGATTAAATCCATATATCTTATCGCAGTTCGTTTTTCTCTTCATCTATGTGTAACCTGTTGTGTTGATTATTTAAACTAACAAATGTTTTTCATGCACTTATTTCTCATTTAAAACAGAAAACTCAAACGGGAATAATAAAATTTTCAGATAAATTAGGATCATATTTTCGCGCACTATTCTTTGTTCCATGCAATTTGATAAGGTTGTATAATTCTTTAAAAACATGTCAATTTAATGAGTTTTGAAATATCCATTAAAAAACGATCAATTACTTGTAATACAAACTGGAGTGTGGTTTAAGTTAGAGGGGTTTTTGAGAAAGATTATTGTATCTGGAATTCTAGGTTCATGTATACAATTAGCTTGAAATTAGGCTCTGGGTCCTCCACATCTACTAACCCAATTTAATCACTAGACTTCTGCCTTCGACCTTTCATTTTCATGAGAGTGTCTCCTACCACGCTCAGACACAGTAGGACTTACCTGGGAGGGGTTATAGACGCGCGGTCTTAAAATAGCGTTTTGAGTGAGAGAGCTGTTTCTTCTATCCCATTTAGCGTGCCAAAGCATTTAATTTGAATTAAACTAGACTTGCTAACCAGGTGTTATTTATTTATTTAAACACATAAATATTGGTACAAGGAAGCATCAGATAAATATGCGCCTCACAAATCTCATTCGATTTGTGTGAGGGCTGTGATACTGCCCAGGTGCCCAGACTGAAGCAGGTGGTTTTCTTAGGGGTCCACACCCGGAGCCTTTGACCTGGATGTCTGACCCACAAGGCAGTGGGGCATCGTGAGGAGATGCAGTCCCATGGTTGATTCGTACGCCATTTGTTCCATCAGGATACTGGAGCCCATGTGCACCATTGGTTTGGAATTGTGGTTTTCCAACTCCCCTAGGTGGACTCGCCTTGTCCACCAACCCGGTTAAAGCGCCGGACATTCGCTTTTCGTCCTCTCACTTTCGTAAACAACAGTGATGCCACGAGAAGGCAGTGAGTAGGACTTCCCTGACAGAGGCTATATATTCGCTGGCCATATGAGAGTATTTCGAGATGAAGAGGTGACTCTTCCCACTCTCGGCCGTACCAGGGCATTTGGGAGCTAACGAGGTGTAGCTTTGTTTATTGAGGTTCTATCTAAATTCACTGTATGTAAAGGTCAGAAATGGTAGCAAGTGGTCATATTCAGAGTTTGCTTATCAGTGAAATGATGTTTATTATTTAGCTTCTAATAAATAACTTTTAACCTCGATGGATAGCGAGAAATTACACTTAGGTAAATTCCACTATTAAACCCACTAATGTAAGACAGTCTGGTAATCCATAAAATACTTCACCATTTATATGTACTTATCATTTATAACCTATCCATTTTAAATGTCGAACTAATGTTTCTCTGTACGTGTCTATTTTCTCAAGTGACTTTTCACCATTACTTACTGTACTGTGTATTATTTATCGAATTCTAGATAAGGATGGTATGTAATTAAAGTAGTCGGCTTTCACTCGCAATTTGTCTTTAGTATTGCATGCTTGGTGTGTGTCATTCATCCAAAGCTGACGCGAATCTTACACAGTACTTTTACCTTTTAGGGCTGTAGAGATATACAAGAAATTTTAAAGGATAAACACGGAAACTTGTAATTTTTTGTCACTCTAGTTTTGTTGTTGTCACATATTTCTTGACCCAGGTTCGAACCCCTCTCTACCTACTCCAGTTTAAGGGACCGGGTAGTATCATACGTCAAGTATAACTTATATCCAAGTATTTGGTGAGTGAGTTAATTCTGTATACTACTGATACTGTTATTATTTCTGTTTTGTTTGGATAATTTCATGTCGCTGTGTTAATGTATGGTATGCAGAAATGAATCGACGGTGCCCGTGTGCACCAGGTTCTGAGTTGCATATGACTGACCAACGTAGAATCTCATCAAATTTCTTTTGCCTTTTCTAGACGATGTCGATAAAATAATTTATGATGGTTTGTACACTGAACCATGTGGATTTCGTAATGTTAGAAATTCGTGCTTCCTTAATGCTTCTCTCCAACTCTTACTCAATATTCCAACTTTATGTTCAACTTTATATAAATCTCGCGGTATATGCGTTTCTTCAGGTGAATCTTCCTTCCATGCTTCAGGCGTCCAAGAAAAGAAAACTCCTTTGACAGATCAACTGTAAGTCTTACTCTCCATTCGTCTAGTTGACCTTTTATTTAGACCTTCACACTTAGTAGCTCTCTGTTGGTGGCAAAATAATCTGGACATTATTACCAGTGTTTACTTTTCAGAAATATGCTAGGATTTCGTACTGGAGATCAGGATATCATGTCAAAATGTTCATCTCATTACCACTCATTTTTCCCACATAGATTGCTAGTTTTATACTGCGCTTGTCGTTACCCAAATGTTTGACTACCAATTATACATTGCGCACATGACACCGTGTTTGTTTACATTCTACTTTTGATAGATATGAGAAAGCATTTAGAGACTAGTAGTGTGTTTTGCCTTAATTACACTAGTTTGGTACAGTGACTTCATCATTTTTGGTGATATTAAAGTTAAATCAACTTAGAAGACGTTATCTAAGCACTAGTCAACTGATAGTGTTGTGCAATCATGGTGGCGTAGAGAAGAGAACTAAATATTTTGTGTGATAGCCAGCTTTAAAGGTGATAGCAGCACCCGGTTATCAATTGTATGAATATTTTTTGTAAGCGATGATCAAAACAACGGACTATGAAAATAACTTTTAGTTTGACAGGAATTTTTCACTTAGCCACTACCACAATATTGTAGTATTTCAATATAGACTGATGGACGTCTATACCAGGATCTACATTGATTATAACTGACTGAACCATGTTTTATTTCCGTGTTTTTTGTCTTCAGTGACACGACATTCAGATAGTTTGAGTGAAAGAAAGAGTGGGAACGAAACGATTTAACATTGATTCGTTAACTTTTTCTCTGAAGTTCAAAAAGCGATATGGTCCTAAGGAACTTAACTACCATCTTTAAAGATCAAAGCATTTGTTTAATCGTCAAGTTAATTCACGGTTAAATAAAGGTGAGAAATCTCTTAATATTGAAGCAACTCATTTATGAAGTACATATACATGTACTCAGCTTTGTGGCACATTTCAAATGTGAGTAGTCAACAGAATTGATGGAGCAGACGAAGGGATGGGTTCAAGTATATGGTTCACTAGTTGAAAGCCATTAGCTTAATTGTCAACCCACTGTTCCACTGGTTAAAGCCTAAATAATGTGATTGTTAAGTTTGTTGATTATTCATCATGTCTGAAACACTTAGTCATTACGCGACAGACGCAAAAACATATACTCTATGTCTAATGTATGCGTATAACGTGTGTATGTGTGTGCTAATCGGGTATTCATTTTTCGGCAAATTTAAGCACGTAATAATTTCTAGCAAAAAAGCACATTGTGTCACCTAATAAAAACAAACGATAAGCTTGATTATGTCAATGATAACGTATCTCTTAGCATGTCTATTCCGATTTCTTAGTTGTACCGGGATTTAAGAAAAAAGTAATCACTCCTGTAGTATTTAGTAAAAGCAAATAAACCAAATGTCATATATTTGATAATACATAAATTTCATTGTTAGAAGGTGAAACTATACTCCTGTGTTTTGTTTGTTCAGTATAACACGAATTATGCGTTTTGCATTAATTCAGTGTAAATTTTATTCCTTTTTATTTCCTCTATTGTCTGGTTATGTTTAGTATTTGTTAACTGATTAACAAATACCAGTAAACATGGTTGGTGCCGTGTGTGTGTTTTTTTGGAGAGTAAAGGAAATCTTCTTCTGTTATAAACGTAAGTATGCCGTCGCTAATTGTTATAAACGTAGAAGAGAGGATGCTAGTTATAACAGTAGGGGTTCCTGTTATAACAGTCCTTTTACTTCTTACACGTATGTGTGACGTTAATTTATCTTAGACGAATATCTACACTAGATCCCCACCCAGTGTCTATTCTACAGGACTTCAACAGAACTCAGATCAAGAACACCAGATTAGCCTGACTATAACGTCAATATATTTCCACACGAAAATCCGACACAAAGAACAGTCAATCAATAAGTGTCCATCAACAAGGAACAGTCAATACATAATAAGGATAGGGGAATATATATAACACATATAACACCTGTCATCCCCTCTAATGTCTGACTCATCGAGACAACCAATCATTATCATTCTCGCCCACACATCATCTTCTGATATCAGTTTTCGTCTTTCTCTTTACATTGTACAATTCTCAGCGTTTTTCTGTTTTAAGTATCAATGTTTATGCAGATAGAAATAATAGTTAACTAGATAAATGCTTATAATGTTATTATTTTTCTGTTTTATTTATCTCCCATAGGTTAGAATTGATTGAAAAACTCAATCCACAAGTAGTTGAGCATGACGCTATATTGAATAATACTTCGCAATGTTGTGACGGTTATGGTAATAAAAATAATAATACTGATAATACTGTCATTCATGCAAACAAAACAAAAGTGGGCAGCAATTCGAATAATCCTGTTCCCTCGACTTATAAATTGTCACAGTCTAATGGTGTACAACCATTCATGCTAAAACATATAATTACACCGAACCCTGTGTTTGGAAATCTACTTCATATGAATACAGGTTTTCAAGAAGATGCCGCTGTAAGTATGCATATGATTTATGTAAAGTACTCTTCGTCTGATATTGTTCGTTTTCAAAAAACTTATCCTTGCCAGTCATTTAAGTTATGTGAGGGATTTGTGATAGTTGCTAGGTTTCATAGTTTACATTACGAATTGACCTTCGTTAGACAACTGTTGAAAACTAGCAAGGATTGAAAAGCTGTTTCTTCCAAGTACAGGACTCTTCAGCCGTAGGCATCTACGACTTAAACTCAGGTTTATGTTTTTGGTTTTGAGTTACACTTTAGTTGTTTGATGAAGTTCAGTGGCTAAGTGATATGTCTGAAGCGTTACGAATTCACTAGTAACGAACGGAACAAAGACACGTGACCAGAGACCGATAACTAGCTATACTGACGCGACCCAGACCCAACTAACTAGAGTAAGAAGTCCAAGTTGGAGCGGGGAAGTTATATTCCGTAGCAGCCAGAAGCACAGTAATCAAATAAGGGGAAAAGTCAAGCGTATTTATACAGCAACAATTTGTCCTTGGGCATCATTAGTAAATAGCACACATAAAGAAACAATGGACCAATAGCGTTTAAGATAGTTTACAAGTGGGAAATATGACGTGAAGGTAAAAGAGCGCTTTTTGGCGCGAAAACAGCTAAATTCAAATTTTCAAAATAAAATTACAAGATTAAGCCATTTACCAAGTAAGTTCTAGGGATTTAACATCCCTAACACTAAGGCATTTGACTTTCAACCTATAAACCACCGGCTCGAACCGTTCTCCATTTAATGAGGTTCGGATAACTAGATGTGTTATGTTCTTCAATTATGTCTCATTATATCATTCAGAACTATTTATTTAATTTGATCAGTTTAATTAACTTGGTTCTCCCGCCTCTTGATGATACGCAGTGTTTATGTTATAATTGATTGTTTGAATAGGTGGTCAATTGATTGTATGAAATGTTTTTTTACGTTAGAAACGTTAAGTTTGTTTTTATAATCAGTACTGAGGTTAGCGGCAATCATTATTTCGTAGGAGATTTTGTTCACTGCGTAGCAGTTCATGTGATAAGAAGTGGTGCAATTTGTTCAACGTTTAAAGATTATAATTTCTATATATTTTTTCCGTATAATTAACTTGCTAATACCATTACTATTATTATTGTTATTATTATTATTATTATTATTATTATTATTATTATTATTATTATTATTATTATTATTATTATTTAAACACACAAAGATTAGTACAAGGGGGAACCAAAATATATGTACGTCTCACGATAAAAGTGAGGTTTGAAGAGATAGAGAAATTAATGTAAATATAATAATAATAATAATAATAATAATAATAAGAAGAAGAAGAAGAAGAAGAAGAAGAAGAACATAAACGGAAGGAAATTAATGTACTGTTATGTATTAACCAGTTGTTGCGTGATTGTGTGTATATCAGCAGTGAGTTTGTCCATTCGACAGTGGAGAAGTGTCTCAGTAGTTTAGGCGTTCGAATTTTAGACACTAAATCGCACATTCAAATCTCACTTCTCTTATTTCGGTTTGGACTATGGGATAATATCACTATCCCTCTCACATAGTGTGGACTGATGTCAGATGCTCGGATTTGTGAGTATTCAAACATTTTCAATCTAGTGAAAAAAATTTCATAGTTCTGATTATACTTGTCGCATTTCTTTTCTAGTATTCTTTTAAAAAATTGAGAACATTGAAATTATTATTACTTAGTTCACAAAAAGCTTTGGAATAACCGCGCACCAAAAATAGTGTGTGCTACACAAAATAAGTTAATGTGTGGTTTGGGATGCTGCCCGGTCGCACTAATGGGAGTAGTTGGTTTTTTATGGGATCATTCCTTAAACCTTAGGCTCAAAGGTTTAATCCACAAAATAATAAAGTGACATCTGGAGATGTTTTACAGTAGCAACTGACCAAAATATTTTCATGCATCATTCGTTTCTTCGGGATTATAGAGCCCATGTACATCACTGGTTTGGAATGAGAGTTTTCTAATTCACTTAGGTGAATCCACTCACTCGGTTCAAAACACCACTTTCGATCGTCTCACTTTCACAAGCAACATTCCCAGCTCATTAAGGTGGTGAATAGGGACTCCCTGGGAAAGGGTTTCAACTCAGCCATATAAAGGGATTTGAAGAGGAAGAGTGAATCTTTTCTACCCTCAGATGTACCAGGGGACTGATTGATAATAGATTATACTTTCGATATTGTGAGCAACTTCAAGTTTAGTTTTTTGATTATTTCTTTCATTCAGGAATGCTTGACTTACTTGCTTACACAATTACATGAAGAAATGGGTTGTATAGCGGTAGCTAAGAGTACGGATGTACATCTTTTGAATGATACAGATCAAAGTCAAAACGATTCAGAATGGATGGTTACTGGTCGAGCTGGAAAACACTATCCAGAAGCTAGAAAAGTTTGTTGTCACTAAACATTTTGGTTATTGTAAATTTTTTTATTAATGTGTTGATTGGATTAAGACTTATGTAAAGAGTATGGATTGTTTTCATGAAATGAAGTTGAAGCACTCAAAGGTTTGTTGTAGCCAAGAATTTTCGAAATAATCAAACTATTTTTCGTTTGTGTCTTACAATCATATACATAATAAAACACTAGTGTAGGCTATAAAAACTTTGAATGATGACAAGTTAAAAGGTTTCGTTTTCATATAAATTATATGGAAATTTAATGGACTACAAGAGTGTCATGGATTTTCCGAAACAAACCCTTAAGCTTCTTAATATAAGAGAGAACAAACCATAATCGTGAGTTGTTTAGAGTTCCTCAGTGGAATACATCTTTTTTGCGTGCTTTCTAAAAGTTGACTGTTTCGTTCCCAAAAAGTTTCTGTAATGATGACGGTAAAGACAGTCCGATTGCCTGAACCGGAATATATGGGAGGGGTTCAAACCTACCACTCAATGTCTAACAGTTGAATGCTTTAACCACGTAGCTACTGTTCTATGGATTGATTAACTTTGGAATTTTTAACCATAGAATTTCAGTCCAGTGAGTAAATTTCATCTCATGCTTACCTTAAAGTTAATACTTGTCAGAAAGGCGTACTTGTAATCTTGAGTGGATAGATTCTCCCTGTGAGATTCAAATCCACTTCAACCAGATTCAGTCTTTGAGAGTCATACACAACTTATCATAAAGGAAAGTAAAACGATCATTGCTCCAAATACGAAGTTTCTTGGTCTATGACTTAATTCAGGTGTTTAAATTGAATAATTCAAATAACAAAACGTAAAAATGGAACTTTTTAGAAGTATTCTCTGCAAATTGATCAAAAGTTAATTCTTCAAAGTATGTACAGCTGGAAAATAAAATTTCTCATCTCAATTTATTTTGTTGTTTATTTCTCAATTTTCTATAGATCGAACTTGATGGTGGTCAAAGTCCTATTGCTTCATTATTTTGTGGTACACTTGTAACTCGTTCTAATCTAGGCAAATCAAATAGTAGTTACAATGTTCATAATTATTCAACTGTAAATAATCATGCCAAAAAATCTGCTATCAAAGAACCTTTTTTCATGCTTCATGTACCTATAGACAATCCTCTAGTAAGTATGTATTCATACTCATCATATTCTAATCAATTTCTATGAATTATTATCGCTTTTTTGACAATTTAAATCGCTAACCGTTCTTAATTAAGCAACCATTGAGAACCTGAAATCACTAAATGACTCATTCCGGTAAGGGACTCTTCAGCAGTGGATGTCTATGACCTCACACATGAACACTTAGTCTCTAAACCACTGGTCTGACATTCAACTGTGTTAATGTCTAGCTTCAATCCATTCACAATATTGCAAATCTGTCAGACAACCTGCTTAAATATCTGGGCTACCTGTTGCTGCAATTTAAATATTTCAACAAGTCTGTTAGTCGCATAACTCATTCAAGTGCGCTTATAAAAAGTTTACTACCTTTCTCTGTACAGGTTACAAAAAAGTACAATCAGCGACACTGTGATAGCTGGCAATATTCATTGAAAGGACTGAGCAATATTCAGATGTCGATTCCTGAACTGCTTACATCTAACTGGCGATTACTCAATATTTATCGCAAGGGTCGATCAAGAAATAAGTAAAGGAAACTTGTTGAAATACTTTGTGCTGAGAATTCTATATTGTACCAAAAATATAATATTGAATAAAGCCATTAATAATAATTACATGCACCAAATAAATGTTCCACACTCGACACAATATTGTTATGAATCCAACTTCTATGTACTTACTTGATAGGATCGCTAAATTATTAGGTCCATCAGTGACAAATCCACTTTATTTCAATACTGTTGCATTGATTCTGCTTCGGTTTGGGCGCCCAGGCAATATCCCGACCCTCACACAAATCGAATGATGAAGTGTGGCGCATATATATTTGGTGCCCTCTTGTACGAATGTTTGTGTGGTTGAATAGAAAGTAAATATATAATGACCTAATCGTTCTAACGTTTCTTATTAGCTCATGAAAATTCTTTCTGTTCCAAGCCTGTACAACTAGAAGACAAGAGAATTCATCTTGTTTACTTTCTCAAATACTCATATGATAATGTATATCATATATAAAACTGTAACGTACCATAATTGAGAAATCATAATTCAGAACTAATCTATAAAGTTCCACTCATAACACACATGTTTTGTTAGTAGTCCATGTCAAAGTTTATTACCATGCATTGTGTTGGTTAATTTTTTATCATCATGATGTAGTTGCTTCTACTGAGTACAATTTATAAACACACACTTGACCAGCAAAACAAACAAATGGTGTATAAATTAATCTGTAAAATTATAGTAGAATTCTAAATAAAGAGTTGTAGTTCTAGTTAGAAGTATAGTATGTGAATAAGCTAATCTGAAATCAAGAAAACTATCAAGTTCTTTGCTCTAAATTCAAGAAATAAATGATTTTTATTGTTCATTACGTAAAATGCTTGGTATAAATACTTTTGTACAGTGTTCAGAACGTGTAAAACTGTTACGAAAAATAATTCGTATAATTTAGTTTATGGTTAGTGAAAGTGAGATATGATTGACCACTGAGCGTCAATAGGCACTGACTGGATAAAAACTGACTATTAACTATTTAATATGTGATTTCCTATTGATTGATTTCTTCTTTGATTTCACTGGGTTTAAAGTGCTGATAATTATGGTAAATAAGATATTGTCTCTAGTCTGTTTACTCGAGTTCTTTTTATTTGGTCGTGAATCATATATAATGTGATCTCTGTCTGTGTATAACATATCGATCATCGGTCATGTCGTTGTGTTTTAGTAGTATAACGTAGCAAACAAAATATTTCTTTATTAGTACGGGGGGAGGACTCCCAAACGCCCTGGCAGGGCCGTGGATGGAAAGAGTTCGCTCTCCCTCTCGAAATACTCTCACATGGCCACGCGTATTTAGCCTCTGCCAAAGAAGTCTTACTCACTGTCTTCTCGTGATGGCGGTGTTGTTTACGAAATTGAGAGCAGGAAATGCGAATGTCCGGTTCTTCAACTGGGTTGGTGGACCCTCTGTGCCCATCTAGGGGAGTTGGAAAACCACAATTCCAAACCGATGGTGCACATGGGCTCCAGTATCTTGAGGGGACAGATGGTGTATTAATCAATCGTTGGTCACAGACTACCATGGGACTGCATCTCCTCACGATGCCCCACTGCCTTGTGCATCAGACCTATTGGTCAAAAGCTCAGGGTTTGGCCCCCTGAGAAAACCACCTGCTTCAGTCTGGGCACCTGGACAGTATCACAGCCGTCACACAAACTGAATGAGATTTGTGAGGCGCATATTTATCTGATGCTTCCAATATTTATGTGTTCAAATAAAATTAATTAATTAATGGATTCAATGAAAGATCATTTATGATAAAGTATTTGTGACCCAATAAAAGATCGAAACATATACTGATCTCCTCTTAAATGAATAAATTTTTAAAGTGAAAAATGTTTGCTTGAAGATAGAAAAAACAAAAACAAAATAAATCGTGTATAACTTATAAGGTGTATAAAACTGTCAACTGTATTTAGGTTTCATTCAATCCTTAAGAATATGAATTCTATACTCATTGACCAATGAGCAGTACAAAAAATCTAAGCTTATCTTCAGTGTCTCATAAGATTAAGAGTACAGTATAGTTTATACACGTTGAACTGGTAATTCTTACACATAACCAATTAATACATCACAACTGAATGAATTTTGCGAGAACAGAAACACTGACTTATTGATTGAATAATAATGATAATGATATAAAGCTGTCTTATATTCACAATGTTTAATCTATAGGGTCAGTCGGTCGGTCATAATCAACCTTAAGCTGTAACGTACATGTGAGTTGACCTCAATCGCCCCAATTATTGTTATTGACCCTCAAATTACTAAGTAAATACATGTTTAATTAGTTATCTTAATTAATTAATTATACATATTAGATGTTCTTAAGCTAATAAATTGACCTTAGGTATTTATATCTAAGGTAGACTTAATAATCTGAGCTGCAAATGAGACTTTATTTTGACAACATTACTTGTATTCACATATACTTGCTTTTTTGGATATAACATATCTCGTCTAGCTTTATGTTTGTAATTTTGGTTACAAATTAATGTAATACATCATTTTCCGCAGGTTAATTCCGTTGAATCAGCTTTACGATATTTAGCTGAACTTGAAGAAATAACAGATTATCATAATTCTGATTCTCAAATATCTTTGGTACGTCGTCGATCAATGATAGATCGTCTTCCACCATACTTAATTATACAATTGAAACGATTTTATAATGAATCTAAGATGAAAAGTGTACAAAATATCAATACATCTGTAAATAAAGTTAACTCTACTACATCACAAACATTTCCTGTAATTATTCGTAAACATTTGAAATCAGTTAATATTCTGTCTAAACTTGTTATACCGAAAGGTAAGTTTTAAATGTGGTGATTTCATATTAATAGCATATATATATGGTGTTAATCTCATTTAATAAGTATAGATTCGTGAACTCAGCTGTGAGTCACGTTTTATATTAGAAGGTTAGTGATACTCTATTAGACTGTCCGAACTGAAGTAGTTAGAACGTTTTCCGTAGATATGGCATGTGCTTTGCACCTTGTAAGTGCAAAGTAATTTTACAGGACTGGTAGAAACGTGCGCCTCCACTCACTCTTTGTCGTCAACAGTAAGATATAGTTCTTGTATCCGGGTAGCTGTGTTAGTGCTACTGGCGTCGTGAGTGATGAAACCAGTTCATGTATAGTGAACGACAGAGAGACTGAGGGCAATCCGCGCCATCTTTGGCACCTTCGTGATGTTAGCACGGCTATTTAGGATCGGACTAACAACGCATCGGTAAGAGCAGTTTTGCTCTATGCTTAGGGAACCTGACCTCTTCAAGTTGAGGGTCTCAAGTGACTCTCTTTGTTCGATTATCGTTGTCTCCGAAAGATTGCTGACATAAAACGGAGGTTCAACAGTTGTGTTCAGACGCAGTGACGATAATGCATTTGGTGTTACCATCTTAAAACACTGATTTCGGCGGTCCGGAGGTGTACTACAAATGCCGTGCCAGCGAATTCTACATCGTGCATTATTTGCCGATACTGGGACCGGCTGGAAGAGGCGTAAAGCTGGTAAGTCTATGACCTGGTGTTATGGTATGAAATAAAGTTGTGCAAGACTGGCTTCTCTTGGTTCTTCACGAACCCTTGGCATAAAGATGGTGCATCAGAATGACTTGAGATTTTATCGGAAATGGTCGGGAATAGAAGCCAGTGGTTGTCTTTCTGTAGTTCCCTTTTACTTTTTTCATGTAAGTGAGAGTAACTTGTCTAATTGAGAGAATTCTTTTGGGTTTGTATTTTCTTAACTAAACTGCTTTACCCACTATTATTTTTTTCATTCTTACACCGATTTCCATTCATTTTCTGTGCATTTTTTATTATAATCATCTTCCGTTCTCTCTTTTCACAATCCCATTTTTATTGTGCCTTAAATGCTTTTTTCGGCACCCATTTGTAATCATATTTGTGTTCAAACGATGAAAAATTAAAAACGGGACTTGAACCTGCTACATAGTGAATGAAGTTCCTAGTCTACGAAGCGCGTTAAGATAGTGCACGTTGCTACTGTTTTGTACTAGGTTCGCTCCTATCAGTTTGAACAACAAGGTAGTATTATCAGCTTTCATACTCAAGTACCTGGTGAGTGAGCCCGTGTAATTTCAATTTAATTCACATTCCGAATTGTCATTACTTCAATTTATTAAGGGTAGTAACGAATATCGCGTTTGTCAAGTCTTTTGTTGCTGGTTAAATTCCATCGATTAAGTTACAATGTGACCACTAGTCTAAGGGACTGTGTTGAAATGGTGGACTATTGGAGGTTGACAACAGAAAACCGCAAAGCTTATTTTTATGCTGGTTGGTACTTGTCTACAAGTTGGACTATATATGTATATAGATAGATCAGTAGTATTGTCTCCATTATTTAACCCATCGCCTTTTTACTTTCTCTCTCTTTACACATTTAGAACTTTTGAACCAAGAAACACATTTCAGTAATTCACAGCGTAATTATCGTCTTCAAGCTGTTATATTTCATGTTGGTGAAACAGTTGAATCAGGTCATTACACAATTGCTGTGCGCATAACTAATCCCTTAGAAAAATCAAACAGCAACTCTTCCACATTTATCTATTTTGATGATGATCGTGCTTGTGTATTAAATAACGCTGAAAGTATAAATCTCCTACTAACCACACATCGTCCATTAGATACAAGGAATTGTACATTCCTTCATTTGAAAAAACCACAAACATTTCAATCTAATCCTGAACATGTGACAACATCACCATCATCATCTAACCAACATCACAGTGCACTAAACGTTTCTATCAATCATCCACGCACACCGTATATTCTTCTCTATGAATCACAAATAGGAATTCATCCGGACACATGATGATGATGTGTACATGTCACTGAATAATTTTCTGTGTGTATGTGTATTTTGGCATTTCGATTATTGTTTTCCCTTCTTTTTCTATTGTTTGATTGCGTGATTTGTTTTTTTAAGCGAAACTCTAAATTATTTTTTTCCTATGGAAAGCATTTGTAGACAAAGTTTTATTTTTCTTACCATAGTTTTTGTCGATAACTAGTTTTCTGTGTGTGACAAGATTTGAAAGGAGGCTGCGTGGGGGCCGTTAGCAAAAAGAAACCATTACGTAACCGCATTCCATTTGTAATTAAATGAGTACATTATTTAATAGTACGTATAGAAGTTTGATATAGTGAGCCAATCAGAAGTCATCAAATGATGAGTGCACATGATTGTCCAAGAAATAGCTTTCGTTTTCAATGGATAAGATATAAACCACTGATAGACTTGATTACCTAAGAGACAGATGTATGTATGTGCAAATGAGTACACATACATGTTGTTCGGTTCAACCAAATAAACTTTTTATCACTATCCATCTTTCCTCTTGCGTAACCGGGCTTATGTGTAGAAAGTGTATCAGCATTAATGCTCAGTCAGCGCGTGTCATAGAAAATTCATTCTACTGTTGTTAACAACAGTATTCTTCTGGTAAGGGGCTGTAATTTCCCGTTGTTGATGTTCAGGACTGTAATTGATCAATCTCTTGCCATATGTGCGTCCTGAGCAAATTGCCTTGCTATGTTGTTGTGTCACAAGTTTTAGTTTAATTGGTACGTGGCTAGTTTGAGAATCCTGGATAATGGTTTTACTTGGGTCTCAGCGACTGGACGTCCTAGTGTCCTTTTATTTGTTATTTGAATAGTCCTGATGCTGCCAAGTGAGTCTCAGCAAAATATTATTCACTTCCACATACTGTTGATTTATTTTTTCTGACTTTGTTTGCATAAGGAATTTATCCACTGTTATGAAGTGCGTCAGGTACTGTTATCAGAGCGATTATCACTTCCTATCGGCCCACATTATGGGACCTAAAAAAACAAACTAGATTGCGGGTATTCTTGGTGAACTGGTAATGTAACTACTGTTTGAGGTCGGTCAAGCACAACATATTTGTGGGTAGTTCTAAGTGTGCTAGTTCCGTACTTATAATGCCTTGCCGTCGACGACGGAAATCCTTTTTGGCAAGGTTTGGCGTGTTGTTTTTAGTGCCTTTCTAGTTCTTTCCCGTTGTGGGTAGACAGTATCTCTGTAAATGTTGGCTATTTGAAAGATAAACCTTTCTACCCTCACAATACGATGTACTTATCAGTACAACTCGACTCGCGAGCTACAAGTTTGTTATGCTTAGTGTCACTGCTCTTCAACCAACCTGCTTTGTTTGGTAGTTTCTAAAGGAATGTCTCAACCAGTATAGATGGACTGGGTCATTACGAACTTCAAACCCAACTACCACGTCAAGATAACTGCTATGGTTGGGAAGTGTTATTGATGTTGATCACCAGTTTTCTGTTATGATGGCAGTGCCTCAAGAGAGTGAATTAACGTGATGGATATCAAAAATGTGGAATTTTCGGTTATATCAACAATGCAGACCGTTGCTGCTACCTTTACGTGGCGGTCGGGCTTGCCTATCGTGATGAAGCAATCGAGCTATGCTGGCTGGAACAATCGTTCCTCGAGGTCCTACCATGCCAGACAGGTCGGTTGAAGAGCGGTGAGACTAAAAGTGCAATCCCAAGGTCCGAAGGCGAAGTCGTACTGCTGACTGCACAGAGGTGTGAAAGCAGTAAGGTGTTTCCTTCAGACAACCAGCATGACAGCGATGCTGCCTTCCCACAAGGAGGAGTGGGGTTAGAAAAGGTCGACCCTAAAAATGCACACCTCGCCTTATCCCACGGATTTCCGTCTCCGGCGGTAAGGTCCTTTGAAGAACGGAGCTTACACGTCAAAAGTCCTCCACAAAAAGGCCGTGCGTGACCGACCTCAAGCAGTTGTCCCTTGGGCACTGCGGTCACGCTCCCAGGTCGTTAAGACCAACACTAATCCGACTACTTTTCCAGGTCCCTCAAGAAATACCCTTCCACGATGTGGGCAGCCGGGAAGTGATATTAGCCCTCATACCCATAACAGCACACGAGACCAAATTGGTGACTTTCAAATATATAGTGTTTAAAATATTGGCTTCGATAATACTTGGACGCCTAACCAAAGTTCGTGAAGAGCAGACTAGAAAAAACAAGGCTGGTTTCCGACCTGGGCGTGGTTGCATAGATCAGATATTCACTCTACGTCAGGTCCTAGAACATAGACATACATTCAGACGTCCCACAATAGTAGTATTTATTGACTTTAAGGCGGCATTTGACTCCGCCGATCGTGAGGTTCTATGGCAGTGTTTGTCAGTGAAAGAAGTACATTAACCTCGTAAAGGCTCTCTACTCGAACACAACTGGTCGAGTTAGAGCCTATGGCGAACTGTCATCATGATTGGTTACCTCAAGTATTGTTCGTCAGGACTGTCCACTCTCCTCATTCTTGTTTAACTGTGTCGTTGACATGCTTTTAGAGATTACACTTTCATTATCTCAATCTCCAGGAGTTGAACTTTTACCGGGATGCTCACTTGTTGACTTAGAATACGCCGACGACATAGTTTTATTCGATGAAGACGCTGACAAAATGCAGAGTCTTCTGACCACTATAAGCAACAATGCAGGCATGTTCGGGATGCGATTCTCTCTCTCGAAGTGCAAAATGTTACTTCAGGAGTGGGTTGCATCGACACCTGAACTAGTGATAGGGAGTGAAGTAGTTGAGCGTGTTGACTGCTTCACTTATCTTGGAAGTCTGATCAACCCTTGTGGTCTGGTGTGTGACGAAATCTCAGCACGGATACAGAAGGCTCGTCTAGCTTTCGCCAACTTGCGTCATTTATAGCGTAGGCGAGATATCCGTCTAGCAACAAAAGGACGGGTTTACTGTGCAGCAGTTCGTTCCGTCCTACTTTATGGAAGTGAAACATGGCCGATAAGAGTAGAGGATATTCGTAGGCTACTAGTATTCGATCATAGGTGTCTTTGACGCATTGCTCGTATATCCTGGGACCACCGTGTAAGTAATGCAGATGTTAGAAAACGGGTACTAGGTAGGGATGGCAAATCGATTGATGAAGTAGTGAAACTTCATCAGTTGAGATGGCTAGGACATGTGTTACGTATGCCCAACCACCGACTGCCCCAACGTGCAATGCTTTACGGTGTAGGAGCAGGTTGGAAGAAAGCTAGGGGCAACTAGACCAAAACTTGGCATAAATTCATCAAGTCGCTGACAAGTGGACTGGGCCATGTTGGTAGGTGTAGACTACCTGGTTGGGATTCGCGAGATGACAGCAACCGATGGTTAGAGACCTTGAATGGCATGGCTCAAAATCGTTTGCAATGGCGAAGGTGCATCCACTCTTTGTGTTCTACCAAATTCTAATCTGGATTCTTCATGTCCCTATCCTTTTTCTCTTTCCAAATTTATTTCACTGGATTATACTCCTTGAATAACATCTTCAAACCTTTATCTTTCACATAATACTTATACTCTTACTACTTCTACCAATATGGGATTTGAATCGACAACTGGATCTCTGTGCTAATGTGGTATGGCAACTCGAACTGATGTACGTACGTACGAAGTTCTACGTCGTAACTGACTGACCAGGATTGCTGTCATTGCAAGGTCGAGAACTCAATGAAACAACATTTAACGCAAAATTATCAGCTCATTAGTGAGTTACTTGTAGATAAGTTCTTGAAGTTTGAGCAAGAAGTCATGGTCAGTGTAGTTCATATGTTTCGAAAATGAAACAGGCGTCACCAACGATATAGGATATTCGCGCAATTTCACGAATTGAGTGAATATGTAAAAGTATCATTGAGTGTTAATTCGGTTTTATTCACTAAGCGTTCTCAAAGCCTAGGGAGCTCTGGCTTCAATCGCTGGTCGGGTTGTAGATTTCGATCCTGTACTAGTACCCAGCAATTGTCCAGCGTTTCTCGGTTCTTAGTAATACTTCAACTGAAGTCAGTCTGCGACGAATACCGCCTAACAATCGAAGTAATCTCTGTAAAACCCTTCATCTAAAAACCAAATAGGATTTTATTTAGATGGTATTTTACCAAGCGTATGACGGAATTGAAACTTTGAATGGTGGATATATCTATTGAACACATTGTTAACATTGATAGCAGTCTTATTGACGATTTGAGGAAAAATACTTTTAAGAATTATTTTGTGACAAGGTTCTCGACCACGATTAAGTATGAGATATTCACACAGTCTCCGACACCTGAGCCTCGCAAATTTAATCAAAAGGTTAAAATTCGAAGAAACTACGCTTCCATAGTTATTTTCCAGCTTCTAGAATTAAAAGTGTTTTTAAAATAAATTATAAAATTCAGATGAAGCATAACTGCTCCATCCATAATCAAAAGATAATATTATTAAGTTGCTGGTTATTGATTTATGAAATTGTCTACTTTATAATTTATGCTAAAAAACGGAAGGAATTTGTTTAAGATTCACATTGAATGTTTTTAAATATTTTTCACCAATCTACTTGCTATGACTTGTATCCTACCTGCGTGCCCAGTTAATATATGACGTGACGGTGCCGCCAATTGGAGAGCAGTGAATTATCAGTCGGACCAGTGACACATGAAACCCGTATGAGCAGTCTAGAGCACTTGCCGGTCCTGTTGTCTGCCTAGACCAGCTAGTTAAGTCCAGAACACCAATAACAGCCTTTGCAAAATGAATCATTTATTTCAAGCATACTTGGTTTATGTACCAAACAGATAGACCGCATCGTATCAAATAAGAAACAACAATTATACAAGACTCGGCCAGATGTGGCTGTAAATGTGTGGGGACAGTAATTAATAGACTGGGTATAACTCAAGAATAGTAAATCGTATACTAATAGTTCATAGGTCAAAACAAAACTTATAATAAGAGGGACACGAATATGAATAGTTAAGTTACTTAATAATTATGCAATTAGAGATATGAGTATCATATAGGTCCATAAATAGTTCTCAAAAGTTACCATTCATAATTCCCTTCGGGATATAACACTACTGATTTCCGTTTATCTCTTGAATGAGATCTTGTAATTTGTCACCATGGCTTATATCATGGTGGCTTGCCACCATGATTTCAAAAATGATTGATAATGATGTATAGTACTGAATGGTAGTAAGTAACATAGCGTTATACACCAAAAGGTATGGGGTGAGAAATGAAAGGTGAAAATATCATTAACAATGGTTTATTGGATTCCTGCTTATTTGCATAGAGGTATCCAAATTGGCACAAGACTGGAAAGTTGCGGGTTAGATAGAGTGCAGAATCTTGCATACTTATTTGTTATTAGTCTCATATTAGTGATAAGCAGGGATCTTCTACCTCTCGTAGATTTTTTAGTTGATATTAGCTCATGACATAATATCCAACTTCAACGTTGGAAATAGAATTAAATTTGATTACATTTAAGGGGCTGTTCAAATGTTGGTTTACATTAAAAGATTTTAATCAGTGATAAAAACAGACTGACTGTCAATTTTGTACAAGTGAATGAGAATGTGAATAAATTCACTGTCGTTTATCGTTAAATTGAAAGCTTTTTTTTCTGATGAAAATAATTGGAAAAAACACAGTGGTGCGTTTCTTCTCAATTTTCGATGTACTTCTCTATATACTTATCGACAAAACGAGAAATATGATGAATTGATTCAATAAAAGAAAACGACTGAATGGCACTTATTCAAATTATGTTGGTAACACACTTTTAACATTAGTACGTTCAGTACTAAACCGCTTGTTAAAAATTTTTTTTTTTAACGCCTAATGGTCTTTCATGAGAATCTCATACACTTGAACCTCAAAAGAAGTGATAGGAAGTATGAAAAGAAGCTTTGTTTTCAAAGTTAGTTTACATACCAAAAAAAAACAAGGTTATTTCAGGATTGTACTGGACTCTGAAATTTTAGACGTTTCTGGAATACACACTAAAATTGATAGCCAAATAGGAAATTGTTCAGTCAAGATGGTGGAAAACAAAACTCCTCGTTTCTAAAGATTTGCCTAAGTACTTTTATAAATTTCCTATTTCTTGAAAATTTGTCCAAGAAATTTTAAAGAACTTTAAACAATCTTTTATCTGTGAACTTATCATTTCAAATATTCTTTGTGTTTCATGTTTATTTTAGATGATAAAAGCATACTAGGTCTTATTTCAATTAGATTCGAACCCAGGACCTATCCGTGTCGCTCGTGAGCGCTTAACCTTTAGACCATTGAGCCGGATGCTCACTGCTGAGGAGTCCCACAATAGGACGAAACGGCCGGCCAGTTCTTCCAGGTTTTCTATGGTGGTCTAGATTCAATTGACTCATGATCTTAACTATATAAAATTACTAAAATCTCTACAAAACCCCCTTGTGATAAAATTTTTTTCGTTATACATATGTATTACTCATAAGTATTAGTAAAGATCATTCTGTTAATACTCCAATACAATTCTTAGATAAGATCAGTGGCTTATAATTGGATGGTAACGAGATAATAATGTCATTCGACATTACAAATTCATTCTTTTCAATAAGAATAAATCTTGTAACTATCCAGAAAT